TGTTTGTGCCACAGAGGCGGATAAATGCCAAAAAGATAGATCCCTCTGTCTCTGAGATACTGTCCTATATAGTATAAAGTTAATAGCAAAGTAATAACGAGCCTTTGGTCCAGACATAAAACATAAACTTAGGCTGGTTCGATGCAAGCTCCATGATCTATAACCTATAAACACCTACATTCAGAGCAGGGGAAATTCCACTAGGGTGGCCCGAATAGGCAAATGCCAACCTGGAATTGCAACATTAATTAGAGCTCACAGTAAAAAATCAGCTATTTTTGTGGAACATAACAAGGTATTTGAAAGGAAAGTAATATAAGATTTACACATTTTGGCAAAAGCCATAATGTTTTAAAATGTAAAAAGAAAGTAAATGCTCAGAAAGTGAGGGTAAGATGGGGATCAGAGATAAGGGGCTCAAGCCCACCTATCATATAAATTCATTTTGGGCTTCTGAGAAAACATCTCTCAGCTTCAGGTTATCGATAACATGCAAACACTGAACTGTAAAAGTATACAAAATAATATCTGAACACAATGATGAACAGAAGCAGCAGTAGTAGATGAGAAGAGAAGGAACCAATACCATCCCAATAGAAGAATGATTTCATAATTAATTTTTGTTAAGAAATGTAATTGTCAAAAACACAGCATGTTGATAGAAGACTGTGATAGTAAATGTTTACTGACTGTCATTATACGTAATGCATAATTTAATCCTATTAGCAGGAGAATACATTTACAGTAGGTTATTGGCCTAGGGTGGTCAACCAACTTTATCCGGCCATGCTGAGCGAATGCTTGAGACACACGGATATGTGTTTTATTTGCTCTGCTTAACACCTACTGAAATATTCACCCAATAGGCAACACATTTTTATAGACTACACATGGAGATAGACAGACATTCATTACTCATAACTGCTGCATGAAGGTTGCACACCGTTCTCTATATGAAACATTAGATCTAATAACTTGAGGGGGATTTGGGATATTGAGAAAGTGTTGTGTGGGTGCCATCACAAAATGCTGCTCTGTGTGTGTGTGTGTGTGTGTGTGTACGGGGGGGCTTACCAAGTGCCAAAATTGCTGCTGTGATGGTACAACCACATTTAGAGAACACACATTTCACAGAAAGACAAACCGGTGATGCAAAAGAAAAGTAAAAAATGCACTGGTATGCATGTTTAGATCCCGAACATCCTGCAATTTCCAGCAGGTCACAGCCAGCCATGCTGGCTAGGGGCTACACAATCTTTTTTAATGACCTAAACACTCATAGGATTGTGTCCATATACAGCAGAGGTGAAGACAGAGTCCAAAACACAAACTCATGCCTTGGAAACCCCTTTCCCATCTCTTAAACATTCATTCCCTCTCATCCAAAAGTCCAAGTACATGAGATCCATACAACACAGTTATGCCTTCCTCTCATTTCCAGTATCATCCTTGTACCTAACCTGCACATTCTCATTCACTCCTCTCAGTCTGTTCCAGAATAGTCCTGCCCTACGCTTCATCAGGCTACAGCCTCTCTAACCCATTCCACCTCTAGTCCCTCCACCTCTTCCTCCCATCCCACTGGGTCAACACCAGAGCATATCTGGTCTCCCTGATTCCTTCTTCCACTGTGTCAGGTCACCCACAACTTTCCCCTGGGTCACTCCCAAGTCCCCAGACAGTGGCAATGGGGTCCACCCATTCCTTCCTTTCCTCCCCAAGTGGCCATGAATGCATCAATGCAAAATGCTGGCCTGAAAGACCTAACCTATTTTTACTTATTAAGAACATCTTCAGGTCCTTGTGAGGCCCAGAAGCACTCAGAGACTAAAAATCGCAGAGTGTTGGAGACTAGCACTTCACTCTGAAGCATTCCCGGTCAATTGGAAAATGAATAAAAATACATTTAAGAGTAAAATAAAATACAGGCACTCCCCAAGTTACAAAAATCCAAGTTACAAATGACCCATACTTTCAAATGAAGAGCCATAAAGCCTATTACTTTATAAAAATTACTGTGGAAAATCATCATCACGTTAGAGAGAGAGGAAAAGAGATGGGAGAGAGGAAGGCCTCCAAATCATCACCATAGAGAGAAAGTGAAAAGGAATTCAGGGGGGCCTCCAAAGCATGCCTTTCTGCTCCGCCATCCATTTCCTTGCTGCAGAGAGGAGGCACAGGTGGGTGATGGTGGAGCCTAGAGATATTAGCAGGTTTTATTTTTTCAATTTCATGAGGGTGCTGTGCCCCTAAGCCCCCATTAATGTGGAGGGCCAACTATACATGATCCCTCTTACATAAAAATTCGACTTAAAAGACTAATTTCCATTTTCTCAGAAACAGAACTCATTTGTAACCTGGGGACTGCCTTTAAATCAAATCACAGGCATTGGTAAGGTCTCTGCAGGTGCAAGAGGGTGTGTTCCCAGACACAATTGCATGCTTTAGATGGCGAAGTGATTGTAAACAAGTTAAACTGTGGAATATTATGCAGCATTACTTCCCTGACAGCCAGTATGGTATAGTGGTGAAGAGTGTAGATTAGAACTTGGGAGAGCCTGGTTCTAGTCCCCACTTAGCTACGAAGCTCACTGGGGGACTTTGGGCCAGCCACTGACTCTCAGCTTAACCTAAGTCACAAGGCTGATGTGAGGACAAAATGGAAATCACTTTCCATCTTGGGCTTCTGTGAGGAAAGGCAGGGTATACATGTAACAAGTGAATAAATACATATTTAATCCATTGCAACTGTTAGAAAAAGGTTTGCCAAATGCTCTGGAACAAGGGAAAACTAGGAATGTAAATGCTTGATGTCCAGGGTGATGATGGTAGCTGCAGGATTTGAGTCACACAAAAGTATAGGCAAAAGTGCACCACATTCCCAACACTTTCAAATCTCACAATTTCTTTATCTCATGGTTTAAAAGGGTTTGCCCATAATTTGAACAACTAAGGTTAATAATACAAGGATTTTTTGTCATCCCAGCTAACTGAAAAAATTTATCACATTTCACAGCCTGCCAAGAAGTGACCTTTATCTGCCAGTACATACATTTTTAAACATTTCATAGTTCTAGTCCTAGTAGAAGCACTTAACTCAGCCATCCAATGACTACCTAGAAAACTTCCTAAGAACTGTCATTTCTAATTTCACAATGGAAATTGCACAAACAGAATCACAACAAAAGTCCATGCAAATTTTATTCAAATTATGCTGATTATGCATTGTCAAGCTACGTGAATTAGCTATGGTTCTCCAGTTCACATATTCCCATTTCTTCCATTACAAAGAACTCCAAGGAAGAAAATGGCTCTCAACAGGATTAGCATTTGAAACATAGTACAAGTGCAGACTGGTTCACACATGCACATTCATCACCAGATAACATCAATATCAGCTGATTACTTTTGTGCAAGAGGCCTACAACAACAATGAAAGAAACAGCATGTCACCTCAAACCTTTCAAGGGATTCAATTCATACATTCAATGCCTGCAATCAAGTGTAGAGAAATCCTGTGATGTACTGAGGCCAGTCAATCCATGTATCAGCTGTCTAAACTGTGTGCTGGGGGGGGGGGGGGGGACACACAGAGGTATTGATTATCATTCTCTTTCAGAAAAAGCACAACTTATTATCAGTTTGGAAGCAAAATGTGGCCACCCCAAAGTAAGTAAAGCTTCTACATACTCAGAGGGATCCCTGGGTGTACAGAAGGTGGTAAGTTAAAGACTTTTAAAAATGCAAAACTCCCCTCCCCCCAAAAAAAACCTCCCTCCTCTCTACCAAGGACCTTTGAGTTTACAGAATAACAATTATGGGTTTAAAGAAACCAGGAGTCAGGCAGACTGTAGCCCTCATCAGGTTCTCAGTCTGAATACACAACATGACAAGAAAAAACATGGAGGACCAGCCTTTGTCCACAGGGGCCCAGTCAACACCTGCACCTCAGAGTGGTTAAACTGATGCCACCTCCTACATTATACTTATTAACTGTTCTGGTATTCAAGTCTGTTTTGCTATTGATAGTTCCCCTACCATCCTTCCCCCCCACCCAACATTCACATACTTCCATAGTATTTCATTGTCTTTATACCCTGCCTTTTTTCATCTTAGGAAGAACCCAAGGCAGCTTACATGGTTCCATTTTACCCTCACAATATAGTTTGGGATAGTTTGCGAACAAGGTAGAGGAAGATGGGGAGAAAGGCCTTTTCCAGTCCTGAAACTCCTCCTCACTCTACCTCCCAGGAATCTGAATTAGACCATAAGACTCTTGTAGGCTATCTGGATGGACACTGAATAGGAGCCCTCCTTCTAGGAGATGGAGTATGCCGCAACATGTTGCAGGTGCCACTTGCAGAAGCTATTATTTCTCCTATACAGAATATGATTTTAGTATAAAAACAGCAGCATGTGAAGTAGTCCAATGGACTCCAAAAGTGTTCAACCCCAACAAGTGGCTAAGAAAGACAGATGGATGGACGGACAGACAGACAGACCATACTAGTCAGAACACTAGAGAGGCTGTAAAAGAAGATATAACTTTTCTCTATCTGAGGAGTGAGTAGATACGGTAGATAAATGTCATGTATCAATAGCATATATCAGTCGAAAACGATGGGCACATCCAAAAGGAAAAAAGCCCTTTAATGTTCATTGAGGAATCCTCAAGTTGCTTCTTACAAAGCCTTCATGAAATATGCAATTTAGTTGGGCCTGGGAAATAAGCCTCATGTACTTACTAATTTTCAAACAGACACTCACCACTCCACATTCTCCGAAGAATATATATTTATATAAACATAGCTATGTTCATAAATAACATCTGACACAGACCCTAGATATATCCATTTTAAAAGGCAAAGGGAAAAACCCAAACTGCAAAGAGAGAGACTCTCTGGACTGCCATGTGCTCCATGATTTCCTTTATTCCCCTGCCTGGGTGACAGTCCTGTGCTGCGGAGAAAATACCAAAGGGAAGAGACAGCGTCACTGACCTGTGTGCTGCCTCCGATGCTTGGTGAGGGCATGACGTGTCCCGCCAGCAAAGCCACAAAGGTCACAGAGGAATGACTTCTCGCCTGTTGCAACAATAAACAGATGAGGGACTGTGGAGGTCACAGATCATTAAAACATATCTATCAAGGCTTTCAGGGTTACTAATTCCTCCAATCAAATGTTTCCATGTAAATATGTCAAATGGGAATGAAATTACCACTGCGGTTTATTGACTGTGATAAAATCTGAAAAGCACCACTGAACATAATTACATACTTGTCAGACCCATAAAAATTAGCTTTATTATCAATGGAATGGTTTTGTACAACTTCATTTCTGTTAGATGTCTTCCAGATGGGGCTGCTTTATGCACTTGAACAGTTTTTATGCATATCCTGATTTTTTACAATTCCCATACATCTGGCCTTTCCGTGCAGAGGAAAGACTGCCTGGAAAAGTTAATATACAGTATATATATGGTTCTGCTTAAATAAAAATATATTAGATTTACCAATAAAATAAAAACGTTGAGCAAATTATAACTGACTTGATCACAGTCCTCCTCAAGAACCTCCCAGTAAATTAAAGAAATTAAATTATTTTCCAGAAAAGAAAATAGGCAACAATAAAAACCTACATTTTTTCTGTACCAATGGCAGCTCAATGCTGTTTATGTTTCTAAAACTTTCATAATGAAGAAAAACAAGTCTGGGGATTACTTCAGAAATTGAAGTAGTGCTTGTATTGTTCATATTTAACGATATGTCTTTATTCTAAGCCTCTGAAACCATTAAAATATAGATTTGGCAGGGTTGCTACTTGTTAAAAGTGTGTAAATGTACACTTATAAAGTATTTTTATTCCAGATAAAATTTTGCCTTTTGCAGTTTATAAATGCAGTATATCATTCCACAGTAGCATTTTTAGTCAGTAAAGCCCAGGCATGTGAGGCAGATTCATCCCACAAGACCAACGAAGAAGGGCATTATAGAATAATAATACTAACCTTGGAGAGAGCCAGTGAAATTATAATGCAGCTTTAACACACAAATGAGTCATTTGGCTCATTTGGAGCCGAACTGTACCCTCCCACCCAGATACCAAGAGAAGCGAATTAAAGGGACTAGGAAAGTATTTCAGATGAATTGCAATATCACATTTATACTTTCGGCTCACAAGGAAGAGAATTTACAGTAAACTGAAATCCATGGGAGTTAAGAGGTCTATTTCCCATTTCCTAATGGTACTGCAAAAGAGGCATTTGTCTTTCTGATCCTTATGAGGGTCTATTCTCTGTGCAACACATTTCATTTTCTGCAATGTTCATTAGTTGATTTGCACCCTGAAGAGTTATGGAACATGATTGCCAAGTCTGATTTTAAGAAACTTTGTCAGCCAAGGAGCAATATTTTCTATCCTCACTTTCACAACCTCTTTTTTCTCTCCATGGACTGAAAGCCACTCCACTTCCATCCTAGTTACCTTTAAGCCATCACAAGCCCCCCCCCCGCCCCCCAAAAAAACTTTCCTTCCTCCTTCCAATTCACATATATACTTTGCTCGTGTTACTTTTAATCCAGGTCCTCCAATGCCCTTTCCCACCACTTCCAAGTAAAGCTTGTTTCCTGCGCACTAGCCTGCTACTCATACATGTGTAACACATACCCAAGTGGAATGAAAGCCTTGCCTTGCCCTTCCTGATTTGGCAGATGTCTGTCAATGGCTGAAAGTAATGACAGCTATATGCTGCCTCCAGGTTCAGAAGCAGTATGCTGGGGAACCCCTATGGGGGGACAACTATTGGCAATGTCTCCTGATTCCAGGCTTTCCTAGGGAATCCGGTTGGCCACTGCAGGAAACTAGATCCTTGACTTTGGTCTGATCTAGTAGAACTCTTCTTATGTGTGTTATTTGTTAGCTCTTCTTTTATTCCTAACAGCACCAGGCTCTGTGTCTTTTAGCCCTTGCTGTATCTCAGTCCCATTAACAGGCTGATCTATTATTCTAGGGTGGGAAAAATCTTGTATTCTGAAAGAACAGGCCTTCCCAAAAAAATACTGGTTGGGCTAAAGTGACACATGTATCATACACAGACTCTTCTAACTAGCCTAGAACATTATGAGCTAAAACAGACTAATGGTAAAGTGAGCTTAAAGAAGCAGGCCACATGGCCATGGGTCTCACTCTTTCCTCATGAATGAATCAAGCACTTCAGATTCCATACAAACCGTCTCAGTGATGGAAAGTGGGAACTTCCTGGCAATGGAAATGACTGCAAATAAATTGCTGAATCCCGTCAGGGCAAAGCTTCTATCGCTTGTGGAAGCCCTGTTTTCATTCCTTGTGTAAGTTTCAAATCCACCACTTCCATTTTTTCTTCTACAAGCTGCTGCATGCACTGTTTGGCAGGTTGTTGTACCTAGTGTTACACAAACTATTTCGCACATTTTTCAATGTTCTACTATATATTATAACTTTACAACCTTTCTAACCTTTTGCTTGTTTTAGTTGTTCTGCTAGCAAATATGCAACTCCTGCACCTTAACCCAAACTTTTCGAGTGAATAAGCATATATATCCACATGATATGATTTGTTAGAAAACTAGAGGCGACCTATACAAGCCTATACAATGATGTTTTCCTTCTTCAATACACACACCCAGCCCACAGATTTTCCAACAGCATCATTATCCAGACAAGTGCTTTGCATGGAGAAGAAGAGCATACAGCAACTGGAGGTATGTTTAGTTATGGGAAACACATTTGCCAGGTCAGGGTAGGTGCAACAACTCGTGCCCTGTGTAAACTGAAACTTAATGTTTTCACAGAAAAATTCAGGCAGGTGAATAGTTGCAATTAAAGCATTCATTTATTCTCTGAAAAGGTAAAAACATTCTAGAGAAACTGCAACTGAAGCATCACAATTTTAACACCTTAGCATTTTTGCAATAATGGAGAAGCCTCTCCAGAAAAAACAAACATCCCCTATTTTTCTGCTTACACTTTTCTGCCACTTTGTTTTCTTCTGGTGCTGGGAAGGAAGAGGAGGATATAAACCAAGTTTGACGATAATTAATTAACTATTAATTAATTCATCAGTTGCATACATAAATCTTTTGAAGTACCCAATCCAATATCTCAATTTAAGATTCACGCTTGAAACTTAATTGCTGTTTCAGGCCTACCAGAAATTGTTCCTTGGTTATCCGTTTGTTTGTTTGTTTATTATATTTCTACACTGCCCATCATCCCTGGGCAGTTCACAAAATCAAAATGAATGAAATGGATTAACATGTACAGAAGTTTACATATAGTTTATAGAAGGGGAGAAGTGAGTTTGGTCAGCAGGTTCTTATGCAGTCAAGAACATGCAATACTTTATCCTTTGTACCCTGCTACTAACTTATGCACAAGCATAGATGTGTTTACTATGTAATTAGTAAATATTATGCTTAAAATAGTACACACCATATTCTTTGTTTACTACTAAGCCCTATAATTTTAATTCAAAAAGATATCCTCTGTGAACTCAGCAGGAATTGTCTATATTAAATAGACAATGAGAAATGAGAATGACTAAGTTTTTAACACATACATGTTTAATCAAATCGAGAATTATTTTACATGTAGAGTTGCAGTGATCAAGCTTACTGAGTTCATCCAATCTTTCATACTATGTCCTCCATGTGCCAGAGTTACTTTTGCATGAATTTCACTGGGATTTGTTTTGTCTGGTAGACTTCTAGATATATGTAACAATTATCATCAGCAATCTAGCATGCAGTTATACATATGGTGAAGGACACACAACCATGTGCATGATTTCACTCTTTAACTATACATTTAACAATTTTACCATTCCTTCTTCCTCCAGAAATTGCAACCTTTAAACTTTGAGAAGGATCTAAGGGGCAATATATCACTTGGGGTACAGGGGGCTGATCTAACATGCCATGTTTATATGATAACAGGAATGTAATAGAAAATGGTTCTTTTCTTAACAACTTGAATTAGTTTCAAGTGTGCCATTTTGCATTCAAATGTAGAAAGACACGGAAACCAATCCTTTATTTTCTATTAGAAAACAGCCACTGTCCCCTATCTCTCATTATGGTGCAGACTACAAGACCTAACAACAAAAATCCATATTATTGATCTAACCAAGTCTCCACAATTATTCTTTAGAAGGAAACGCCGACGATAAATTACATCTGCACTGGCTTTTCATCTGCTGTTCGATATAAGTGATCTCTCAGGGCAGGCTGGAGACCTTAAATCGTCAACACCCTTGTCAAAGAAGCTAAGGAGGCCTGGGCTTCCTACAAACTGCCTTGGAAGAACTTTTAACCTATAATTTCTAGCAACAACTCATTTCATTTTCAGAAAATTGGGAAAAATCTTTTCAGGAATATTTTTAATTTAATGGAACACTGTTTCATCTTTCTATGAAATGCCTAGAGAATTTTAATTTGAAGATCATTTTTCTCCTCCATTTCTCACACTTTTACCCAAGTATAACATATACTATTTTGCTAAGTAGCTAAAAATAATCTCAGGTACTTTTCTGCAGTTTTGTTTATATCCCATCATGTCACATACTATGATATTATTGATTGTTCTTAAAAACAGTCTAAATTTGAAGCAATTGAATGTTACTGTTAATTGCAGTTAATACTAATGCTTGATTATTAAAGACCTTTTAAGTTCTTCTCAGCAATCTTCATTATAGCAAGTTTAACTTGTAACAGCTTTATTTTAACTCAAAGGTTCAGATCTGAACTCTTTTTTCCCTGTTGAAGAAAACTGAGCACTTTGTATTGTGTACAATTGATATTTAGAGAGATAAACATTTAAATTGTGGCAATGCTCCTTCAAAACCAAAGTTTAGAAGCTATTTTGTATCTAGTCTCATATATACATCTAATAGGGCTGGTTCATATGGAATATTTTAGCTTTTTCCTCCCTGAAAACAGTCCTCAGCTTCCTTCAGTATTTATTTGTTTAATTACATGTTTATCTCCCTTTCCTCCAATATGCAGAAGTCATCATATGAAAAATGAATTCTGTGAACCAGAACAATAGGCACACACTTTCCAGCAATTTCTGCCATTACTGTAGCTCCAAAAGGTACACTTTTGGAGTTCACACAGTACTTTCTCCATTAAATCTAAGTGCCTAAGGATGATTGCGCTGGGAAAAATCAGCAGCAAATACTATACCTTCGTAAATCAGCTCTTGGAATCAACCTAGTCAATTGATATGAATCTTTGTACGCTCAGGTATTTGCATCTGTTTCATTCTTTTATATGAAAGAAACATTAGTTATAATTGTTTCAGTATGGATTAATTCTCACAATACTGTCATTTATGATATTGTGGTAGCATCAAAAACTGCAGGACCTCCTTCATGCAGAAAATAACATGAAACCAAATTGAATTATATTTAAGATGGTTTCATAGGGAAATCAAGAATTAGTATAGAAACAGTTAATCAAAAATATAACATACAATCTTCCTTTCTCTCTCTCGCTCCTTCTTCCCTCTCTCTCACATACACATTTATTTTATTTTGATTTATTCTTAAATTTATATTCTGCTAATCAATAGTCCAGCAGGACTCTCTAAGCAAATACATATACAAGAACACTCCATTTCATTTCCAAAACATATTCTGGACCTGCCAAGCCTGGGACCTTATCTTGAGCCTGTGCTGAACATCAGTGCAAAACATTCCTGAAGCAATTGCTGAAAGTTCAGTAATTTGTGGGTGGCTGTTGTTTGTGACCTGATAGGTCCACTCACAATACATCACTATAGGTACACTTGTGGAGCGACAGGTGTCCAGGGCCTCCCTTTTCCTCTACCTGTTTGCATCATGGGAAACTGCTAGGATTAGCAGAGCAAAAGACCAGTATTGTTACACAGAAGGATCGGCATTGTGCCCTAAATGTTCCAGAGTTAATGATACTTCTGGAATAATAATTTTACTTGTTAGGATCAGAATCCAAAGCAGCTACCCATTCCCACTCCCCTGTCCCAAGCAGTTTTTTCACAGCCTACATCTTGAAAAGAAAAGCATGTTACAAACCTGTGTGTGTCCTGTAGTGATCTTTCATGGCTGATGCTGTGAGGAAGGAATAATGGCACGTGGGCCATGTACACTTGTATGGCTTTTCTCCTGTGTGGAGTTTCATATGGTTGTTCATTGCCCACTTCTCTGTAAAACTTCTGTCACACAAAGGGCATGTAAATTTCCTGTGTAAAGAAAAGGAAAAGGAAAGCAGGTGTTAACTTCACACACACACACACAACTGACAAAAGAAGCATGTTTTAACCCAAAGTGTGGTAAACGCACAGACTTTCATGAAGAGAATTGCAGACCTGGTCTGTCATGTCTGTATAACCAGGCATTGATTTTTCTGTCGAGACCTGGCACTTCAGCCATTTATTCTCTGCTTTGCGGTTGGGCCCAACGGGTTTGAAAAATTCTGTTACAGTCCAGTCACCCCTGAGGCAAATGTGAGAATAGATTTCACCTGTACAGGCCTACACCACTTATCCAGGGCATGGGCTGTCAGAGCAAAGGCTAAATGAAAAGCTATCCATACTAAACTACTCAGACAATCACACCGCTTCTGTGCCATGCTGCTGCTACTGCAGTGCGGAGGTGAAATACTACTTGTAATAACATGGTTACCGTAGTAAACAAAAAAACACTCGAAACTGCAAAAAAGCAGGTGTTAAGGGGCAAAAAAGTCAAACTGCCTTCAAAAGATGTAATCCTTCCTTTAAGAACTGCTTGAAACTTAATTTCAGGTGTTTTACATGGTTAAGCGTTTTCACTTTCAAAGAGTAAAAGGATACCAAAAATTGAACAGCTAACTGTTAAACAGCTTAGATTACTATCATTGACTAAAAACAATGGGTGTAGGGATAGGAAAGAAGGCATTGGAAAAAGAGGTTTGATTCTAAATGCCAGGGAATGTTGAATCTTTGCAGGCTGTAAGGACATCTTAGCACCCAGGGCCACAATGGGAAAATGACACTGACTACCTTTCATGAGATGTGAGACTACAGATGAGAACCTCCACATCATCGAAACTGAATCAGGATAACAGCTGCTGCTTGGTAGTATGATATAGTGCTGGTGAACTGCCACTCTGCACTAGTGGAAACATCCAAATATTCTTCAAGGGCAGACCTTATATAGAAACTATGACAGCAGAGAAGCAAAATGGCCATATAAGCATGCCTGGTGGTCCTTGTCTCGCCAAACTGGAGAACTGATTGAATGAGTCAGCATACGTATGATTACTTGAACATCCAGGTAAAGCTCAGTAACATTGCCCAGGGACAAACTTGATTTGTGGATGCAGGCCCAGAAACCTTTCAATCAATAGATAACTGATCATATCTTGAATTTAGGCCCTATGGACTAAAAATCCCTCTATCTGGTCTGGATTCTGCTCGTATGTGCCATTAACTACCCAGCCTTGAAAGCCAAACACTGGTTTAGAGCAAAGTGTGCTGCTTCTTGATCTCAAGGCAAAGTTAGCAGTCAAGATGCATTTCTTTCCTTAGCTTCACCAGAAGTAACATAAAAGATTTCCATCACCACAGCTCTCGAAAATGTATTATACTTTACTAAATTATTTGACTAATTAATCAGAGCTATTTTGAGCTCACTGAAGGGTACATCCTCAGCCTCACTTCCCCCTGACAGTCCCCCATGCCCCTAGACACCTGCCCTGGTTAGCTCAATGGCTTTCCCAAATAGTATGTCTTGGTGGCTGTGGGGGCCCCTTTGAGCTAGGCAGATGAACCTGACTGAAGTTCCATTCAAACAGTCCTTGCTGACTATACTCAACAAGGGTACACTCCTCCCTGGTCATGTCTCTAAGCTCCATCCCATGCTGTTCAGTGTGGTTTCCCTGACTTTCCATGGAGACTGCAGACGGTAGGAGGGATGGGGAACACCCTTTTGATGAACTTCCTTCTGTTCACAGGTATCAAGCTCCAAGCCATTGCTTTCACTGACCCTTGCATTCCACCATTTGCTTCCACACCTATTTCATCAATTCAGGATTTCATACTCTTAAGCTTCTACCAAGAAAACTGTTTCTGTCCGCTCCCCCAATTTTGTGGTTTGCTTACTTATTTAACATTATAGCACCACATTTATGCAACTTCGGAGCCCATATAAAGTACATAAAGAACTTACAAAGAATACTAATTTTAAACCACAGTAAAATGGAGCTGCTCCATTAAGAGGCAGTAAGCCTTTGAGTAACAGTTGCTGGCAACACACAGAAGGAGATGGCCATCACCATCGTGACCTGGTGATGAGTTTTCATCTGACTGTCCAGTATCAGGAAATGCAACTCTAGTGCCATTATGGAGGCAGAGAAAGAACCAATTTATGACTAATATTTTGCATAGTCCATCTGTAATTTACATCTCCTTGCATCTCAGATGGGATGACCTTCTTATGGCTACTGCTTTCCATAGCCACTTCTTGGTGGGTGAACATCACCCCCTGTGTAGAGCTCCTGCAGTTTCCTAAACCAGGGCATCATGACTCCTAAGAAAGACTACCAGGCTCTCCCATCTCTGACCTGAATCTCCTAAAGTTTGTCTATTACAGCATGGACTATTGTTAGTTCGCAACTCCACTTCTGCCTTACTCTACAAGCAAAAGCCACTATATATGATTGGACATGTAGATCAGCTCTATGCTGCATATTCTTAGATTCATTGTGAGTATATTTTGCTTGTTGCCATAAATTGTTACTCAAAAGGTAAATCTGAATTTACAATTATGTGTGTGACATTTATGGGGTCTGGAAGGAATATTATGTGAGAACCCCCCCCCCCCATCTTGATTGAGAGAATCCAAATACAATAAAAGACAGAGCCCAGGTTCTGACCATACTTGCTAGAACACTATACAGGCTATCAAGGTTATAAAGGTCACAGGACACAAGAAACACACTCAGCTTACTAATTAAGAGAACTCAGTTTTTTGTAGAATTCAATGAAGGTACTAAATAAAGGCCCATAGGACTACTATATCAACAAATATCACCATCATCATCATCATCATCATCACCATCACCATCATCATTTTAATGACAAACAATTAACACAATATGCATTTTCAAACTTTAAGATAGCCATATTAAGCAATTGCTAAATTTCCTTATAAAATCATTTTCAAAGAAATGCAACACAAGATTTAAAAAAGCAAGACCAAGGTATGTGCATGCAAGTGCACATATACACATATACACTGAATTGAGAACAGAGTTTCAAATTACTATATCACTTGATCATTGCTTGGTGGCACTAGCAAATGACAAATATAGCTAAATACTTCCAAATGCACCGTAAAAAAAATATCATGTCCGTATATCTCGATGACAGGTCTTCATGCATTTCACATTTCAAAAGCATGACAGGGATCTTATTTCTAAGATAAATTCCCCTATCTACTTATTTCTTCATGTATTTATTGTGGATCTAACCTTCTACTACAAGAAATAAATAAGCAGGTTAAGTAGATGCTATCTTTTAACAAATAGTTTCTCTAGACTGTATTACAACTTTATGAATGACAAAATAAATCCCTCATTTTTAAATCTTCCAAGATTCACATTTAACAGTGCTGCACCTATTGAACCCCAATGCATACTCTATTATTCACATACAATAAATGCTCAAGTAAGGTTGAAAGACTATCTTAAAAATGACAAAAACAGCAAATACAGTGAATATTGGAACTGAATCCCTAATTCACTATGCAATTGCTAGATACTATATCTAATCTGATGATTAGACAAATTTCATCTAATAATCAGAAGTAATAAAAATAAAACTCCAGTTCGATGTTTTTGCTTTTGCATATTTGTTTCCTATTATTCTGCACAGTTCACTTTTTTCATTTCACAGCTTTCCTGTGATGTAGGTTAAGCCAAGACATTTTTTAATGTCCTTCCTGGCTGAAAGGAGATTTGAACCAGTAATTTTTATATCCAAGTTCAAAACCCTCACCATTACACCCTGTTGACTATTAGACAAGAGATTCAATAGAAGGGGACAATTGGTTACTCTGAATTACAGAGAGAATGGTGCACTATCCTTGGTGCACCAGGTATCAACAAAAACAGTGCATTATTCAATTGACGAGTATATTTGAACCTTTACCAGAGGAATATGGTTCCTTCCAGTAGCTCTTTTAGGTTGATAGCAGCATTTCTTAGATTCTATTGTTAAGCAGTTGCCTTTCAGGAAAGACCTATATGTAAATTCCTGTCTGACTTTTAAAACATTTAAAAATTGTAATCTATGTGAAGAACTGCAACTGACCACAGATTTTTTTTTTAAATATATGGACCACAGGCCCATGGGCCAACTTGATACAACCAATAGCCATTACCTTGTAATTCTTACAGTATGCATTAAGGCATAATGGAAAGTTCATAATTTATCATCTTCCATGGTATTATAATATCATGTCAATTTAACAACATTAATCCTGCTACAGAGCTTTTTATAATATACAATCACTTAAAATGATGTCACATCCCACTATTTAATGCACATGGAGGTATGTTTCATTAACACACCTCCATCAATTTTTACTAGTACAAATATATAATGTAGAAAAAATGGAGCATCTGTATATATAATATTAATGAGTCAAACCCCTTTACACCAATAAAGCTTATGGTTTCATTTGAGCTCTATTTTTACTTCACCTTATATATGCAGAATTCCAGAAGAGTACAGAAACCTGTGAGATAACACTCAGTTTTCACTAGACATTATCAATAAGAACTAGGATTGTTGGCAAGTGATGTTTTCATGCTTCCAACCAGGTCAAATAATCTAACACAACTTATCAGATTATTTTCATTCTTTTGTCTATTTAATAATTGATTACATGGCCCTTGGAAGTTTATACATGGGATCAGTGATCTCTCCAATTGGAAAAAATCATCTTTCAGAGAACAGACCTATGGTCTCAGGACGAAGCATTTTGTAAGAACAAGGCAACAGTAACAAAGGCAGGGCTTCCTGTATCTTTTCCCCATCCATGGAGTACATAAGCATGCTAAAGTATTTCCCAGGGATATATCTAGGTGTGAGAAGCCACTGAATCCGATTCCTGCCCTCAACCAATTCATTTGCATTTCTGAGGTCAAAGCAGTATCTCCAGGCTCAGAGGGGGAGATACACATCATCTTGTGGTCTCT